TGTTTTTAGGGGATTTCGGGGCCCCCGCCTGCGGATCGGAGGAGTTTGGTGATGTCACCTCGGGCCGTTCTGGAGTCAAGCCAGGGTTGCTGGGGCTGCGGTCGCCCGCCCTGCTCAGGGAAAGGCCCGGCCTGCCGCCTGCAAAGGCCGGTTGGCTGAGCTCCACACGGGTGTCCTCATCGCTGCCTCAGAAGCACTCTTTAAATTCCCTCTCCACCAGTTCTAGACGCGGCTGGGAAGAGGGGAGCGCAGGACCTCCCACCTGAAGGTGCTTGGGTCGTGGGGCTTCACGGGCCCAGCCGCATGGATGGGGTGACCGAGCCCAGGCCAGTGTCCACTCCCGGCCTAGGGCTTGTCGCCTGTTCTACCTAGCGCCCACTTTAGATGCAGCCCACTGTGGGGCAAAGGATGTAGGAGGCTCCCAGAGGTAAAACGGATTCTTGTCTCTGCAGCCCGACGCCTGAGTCGAGGAAAGTTCTGAACCACCTTGGGCCTTTTGACCCACAAGATTGGGCCGGACCCTCACCTCCAGCACTTCTCCCCAGGGACTCCGGCTAGCGCCCAGCCTGGGTCGGTTGAAACATTTCCACTAATTAGCCGTTATGTGACCCCGTGATGCAGGTTATCGCCCCAAAAGCCAAGCCCAACTCAAGGCGCGTCCAAGGTGCGTGCTGGGGTTGGCGACTGGGGCTGCACCCGCCCTAGACCGACTCCTCATCCCGAATGAAGCTGCTTCTCTGCAGGCGGCACAGGCTTCTCCATCTGAAGAAAGACTTATTTTCTCTGAATTCATTCTAAATGAGGGCAGGATTCATGTGGGAATTGGGAAAGATTGGAAATTCTGTCTTGCTTTCCCAGGCTTTAAAAAAACAGGAAGAGAAAAGTGAAAATAGAATTTTACCGTCCCTCCCATTCATTTCAATTTCTCACGTGGTTGGCCCTGATTAGAAGTCAGTTTACAATCTTGGGGAGGCAGACTTCAGGTCTACAGATTAATATAATCTCTGGTTAATGACACAGCATTGATCCTTCTTTTTTAAAAGGAAGAATTATTTTTAAATTTGCGGCATGGCTGTGCTCACCAGAGAGAGAGAGACAGTGAGAAAGCAAGCTGTCGTTCAGGACTCAAACCACGGAGAGCCATGTGGGAGTCCAGTGCTTTAACTACCATGTCAGCTGCTGCCCCCCACAATCCAACTTTTAAAATTAATATATAAATGGGGACCAGCAGATGGCGTAGTGGTTACATCACCAGACTCCCACGTGGCTGACCGCAGTTCAATTCACAGACCGGCAGGCTCGAAACTCAGTGCCAGGCACATGTACATGCTGCCCAAGATCCTAAGAGGAGAATGGAGGATAAGGGATTCTGGTGTGGCCATCCCCCCAGTGGCTGATGTCTCTCTGGAAAGTGCACACTATAGCAAAAATCTCTCTTTAAAAAAAATTCAGGGAACCAGCACTTAGCATGATGGCTATGTGACTCAATTCCCATGTAGTCCACCGCGGTTCGCGTCCCGGACCTGGTGGCTTAAAACTCATGCCGGGCGCATGTGCGTGTGTGCCCAAGATCCCGAGAGAAGAATGGAGGAGAAGGGATTGTGGCGTGACCATCCCCCCTGGGGGGTGATTTCCTGCTTTCTGTCTCTATGTCTCTCTGTCTGTCTGGCGAGCGCATGTGCCCTATAGCAAAAATCTCTCCAAAGGAAAAATAAAAAGTAAAAAAAAAGTAACATTAAAATTAGTACCATGAACACCAGTGTACCCACTGTAAAACCAAAGAGGATAGATAAAAACCACTCAGACTTAATCCACCCATGTGCTCCTTGCTTGTTCATTCCCTCCTTATCCCTATGTCTAGAATATTTTTTTTACTTTTTTTTTTTTACTTTTATTTATTCATTCTTTTTTTTTTTTTTTTTTTTTCTTTTATTTATTCATTTTTTTTTTTTTTTTTAATTTGACAGAGAGAGACACAGAGAGGGAGAGAGAAAGAGGGGAAGTGAGAAAGCAAGTCACCAGGTCCAGGACTTGAACCGTGGTCGGCCATGTGGGAGTGTCCAGCACCTTAACCACCATGCCACCTGCTGGTCCCTACTTTTTTTTGAGAGAGAGATTTTTGCTATAGGGAACATGTGCTCGCCAGAGAGACAAAGTGAGAAATCACATCCCACCCCACCCCACCCCAGCCATGCCACAATCCCTTCTCGTCCATGCTCCTCTCAGGATTTGGGGTAAGCTCACACATACGCCTGGAGTGAGTTTCAAGTCATCCTGTCCAGAACCCAAAGTGCAGTTAACCATGTGGGAGTCTTGTGCCTTAGCTACTATGCCATCTGTTGGCCCCAGAATATTTTTTTATTTTTATCTTTTTAAAATTTTTGCCACAAGAGTTCCAGCAGCTCCGGTGGCGGGAGGAGCAGTAGAGTTTATCAGCTCAACTCCGCAAAGGTTCTAGGTGCGTCGTGGCCTCATCAGGCACCCAGCACGCACCCTGTCCGCAGCCAAGATGCCCAAAAGGAAGGTCAGCTCAACCGAGGGGGCGGCCAAGAAAGAGCCCAGGAGGAGATCGGGGAGTTGCCTGCTAAACCTCCTGCAAAAGTGGAGACAAGCCAAAAAAGGCGGCAGGGAAGGATAAATCTTCAGACAAAAGAGTGCTAATAAAAGGGAAAAGGGGAGTAAAGGGGAAACAGGCTGAAGTGGCCAACCAAGACACTAAAGAAAATTTACCTGCAGAAAATGAAGAAACTAAAAATGAGGAGAGTCCACCCTCTGATGAAGCAGGCGAGAAAGAAGTCAAGTCTGAGTAATGTCATATACCATGTCTTCTCAATGGTCCGTTTCCCTTCTTGTACAATCCAGAGAAATGTTTTTATCAGCTATTTTGTAAATGCAAGTTTTTCAGTTGCTCTAGAAACATTTTTAAGGAGAGAACCCCACCTCATCCCATTTTTAAAGTGTAAATGCTTTTTTTAAAGAGGTGAAATCATTTACTGGTTGTTTATTTTTCAGTACAACCAGAAAATAGTGGGATATTGACGTATAGGAGGCTTTGACTCTATTGCATGTCAGCTTAACATTCCATAGGAGGGGCGGGTGGATGGTTTTTATATCCTAAATATAAAGCATACTAAATGGCAGTGTGGAGTCACAGTCATGCATTTAACGGGTCTTGAATATTTTAAATTACTTCTATTATGTTTTTTAGTAGTATTGTTTCCTAAAGAAGACCACTCTTTGATTGTTGCTCTCCCTGTCAGAACTGTGTGCACTCTGTAACATCTTTGGTCGTGGTAGTCCAGTTTCCCTAATAATTCTGTTAATGTGCTGTGAAAGATTGGAAATTTGAAATATGTAGTCTGTAAGATACTAAATTGTGATTTGGTAGGATTTACATAACAGCTTTCAACATCTGAAGACAGTGGTCCTTTTTTTTTCCTTTTTTTTTTTTGTTTTCTTTTTAAGACAGTGGTTCTTGATATCCTCTTTTTTTTTAAAGAATTATTTTATTTAACTTTTATTATTATTATCATTGTTATTTTCCAGTTTGATCAGAGAGAGACAGAGAGAGAGAGAGAGAGAGAGAGAGGAAGTGAGAAAGCAAGCCACCAGTTCCGAGACTTGAACCATGGTCGGCCATGTGGGAGTCCAGCGCCCTTAACCACCATGCCACTTGCCAGCCCCCTTGATCCTCTTAAGGAAAATTTGCCTAAAAATTTGAAGCTGGAATGTCACTGGAATAACATAAAAAGAGTCACTATACTTGGCTTTTAAAATTTTTGGTATGTATGTTAAGAATTGGGTACAAATTGAAATGTCTGTATTGATCCTTGACACAACCAATACATCTCAATTACAAAAAATAAATGAATAAGTAAATAAATAAAATACATTTTTGCCACAGATGGGACCAGCAGATGGCATAATGGTTATGTTGCTGGACTCCCACATAGTCCACTGCAGTTCAAGTCCCGAACCTGGTGGCTTAAAACTCACGCTGTGCTGGGACGA